TGAATAATTAATTGAGTTTTCTTGTTAATTTAAGATGTATAAACCCTAGGTTTGTGATACCTAAGTGATGTTCAATGATTAGTTCCAATCATGCTTAGTTAATCATGTTGATAATTTATATTTTATTTGAGAAATTTTGGTTAATTGAGATGTTAAACCCTAACTATATTAATTCAAGAGTTTAAATCATATCGAGTTAATCCCTGTTATGCAAATATGATTAACTAAGTGTTGTTTTTTACACCTTTTGTTTGAAGTGTTGTTTTTTACACCTTTTGTTTTCAAACGTGGGGTTCGAGACGCACGATGATACACGTACAATCATGAGTATACACGTATAGTGTCGTAATACACACATGGGTATCCCGAAGAGGATTAATACATTTATTGTTTCAATTACAAGGGAGATATGAGTTATTTAAATATTATATATTTGTATGGATATCGTTAATGAGCACCGCTCAGTACTACTTGGGATAGTGCGTCGATATACTATTAGTACAGGCCATTGAGTCGGGTTTTAAGATGATTGATCTAGTAGTCCGTCTCGCATGTAGATGTGATGAGGCTTGTAAGCTGTATACCTAAAATGCCTGATTTGGTAGTCCGTCCCGCGCGTTAATGCGATGAGGCTAATGAGTCGTGTACACTTTTAGAATGCCGATTTGGTAGTCCATCTCGCATGATAATGCGATGAATTATAAACTTTGCAAGGATAATTATCTGATAGTCTAAGTCTTGGTGGGCGTCATTTATGAACATGACTCATAGTTGAGTTATATATGACCGGGGTACTTTACTCTTGAAAGTACGCATGATTATATACAGTTATTTACATTATCTTCCAAAGGATAGTGGAAGATATTTTTGGTCCGATATTGTGATGATTTTACTTTCTTGTATTGATATCATTTATTCTTAGTTGGGATTGATGATTAGTGATTCACAATTTAAGACATATGGTATATATATGAGGGTTTTCTTGTTTGAATTATTTCGCTCGACGTACTAGTTTTGTGTTGTGAGTTTCTAGCTATTGATTCTATTTAGATTGTTTATTCTTAGTCCGGTATTGATATTTAGTTATCTACAATTTGAAACATATGGTATATACATGAGGGTTTTCTTATTTGGATCATTTCGCTCGACGTACTACGTCTCGTGCTGTAGGTTTCTAAATATTAATTCCATTTAGATACAGGGTAAATGATCTAGGTAGACTATGCTTAATAAATAGTCTCTATCACATCTAGTAGCCCTTCCCCTGGGAGGGGGGGGATGGAGATGATCTTGTTGTAGCGTTCTGATGCTCTTGTTGTTTCTCTTTTTATTTTTCAATTCTTTTCAGGTAGCAGCTCAAAGTTCCGGAGAGCCGCATGATGACGGACTTCCAGCATAGTCGTCGTCACATATTTTTAGTAGATGAGGCTCCATTGTAATTGAGATTTATCTATACATATTTAGAGTTTTGTATTTCATCTTGTAAAGGTTGTGTGCCTTAGTTTATTTTCCGTTGACTCATATTGAGATAATTCACATTTATTTCAGACATCAGTTGTATTCAGTGTATTCAGTTGAGACATGATTATATATATTAGATATCTCTTTCTACATCATGTCTATTGCATTTATTTCCCTTATTTTGTATGTTTTGTACCTGCACTTGTATTTGATTTTACTAGAAAGATATTACTGTGATGGTGAAACGTGTTGTTGCATAGTGTGGGTGCATGACAGGTTTCACATCTCTACGTTCACCTTGGACTACAGCCATGTGTGAAAACATGGGCGTGACAGAATGACACCAAGATCTTTTAATTACGCGCTTATGATGTATCAACTATTTAGATTAACTAATTATCATCTTAGCAGTATTTGTACTCCAAATGATGTTGAAGATATAGTGATATCATCAAAGACAGTAATATATTATTTTTCTGGTTTTTTATTGTCTATGATGGTAACAACCGAATTCCTCTCTTAGAAATTTTGACAATATTCATGTCGTTTGACAACTCTAAGTTTGATGCTAATTATTGTATAGCTAAAGGAATTGTTTAAGTCTGTTTTTTTCCTGTAAATGGTCATATGATTTATATAGATGATAACTATGTGTGTAACATAGTTGTGGGTATTGTAGATGGATGGTGACATAGTTGATGAGGAAACGATTATGAAAATGGTTTTAGAGGCTGCATTTTCTGTAATGGTGATAGTATTTACTTTTTTAAGGAGAATGCAGCTTATACACTTAACAGGTTTTTCTCTTATGTATTAACCGGGTGGGAGGGTTCCGCCAATGATTATAGGGTTCTACAAGATACATTATCTAAGTCACAACCTCATGGCTTGAGGGTTTATAATGGTAATGCCACTTTAATAACCACTTTAATATTTAACACAAAAATTAGTTATTTGGTCAAATTTTTGTTGTTTTATTTTCTAAGTTTTAACTCCCCAACCAATCATAGGAAATTGAGGAAATATAAGGGGTATATTTCTACACCCATGTTTTCTTTGTGAAACAAACAAAAAATAACTATTTTGAGGAAATCTATAAAATACAATGAAATATGATTTCCATGATGTTTTTAATTTTATTTTTTATGGTTGGCAAAACAAACATGCCCTTAGAAGTAATAGAAGCATCATCTATTTCCTTTATTTCACCTACTTCATAACTACTTCCTTGAAAAAATACTTCATAACTACTTCCTTGAAAAAAAAGAGGCCCTAACAAATTAAAAAGAAACTTTATTTTTTTCTTCTCATCATATAGCAAAAAGAGGTCATAACTGTCTCTTTCTTCAAAAGCATTTAATAATGTATTAATTAATGGATGATTTGTAAGATATAATGTACAAATGAATATAATCAATCATCTCTTAAAGGGTGTATAAACCATTGTGTATAAACAAAAAAAATCAAAATAATCCGTGCGAGCACGAACTTAATATTTATAGAAAATAAAGCGAAAGTACTTTCTTTTTATTTTCTACTTTCCATTTATTTTCTATATAAGTGTTGCAAAAATAAGTAATGATATATAAATGCAAGTCTTAAAAACTTCAGAATATATAAATAATGTCAAAAGCAAGCAGTTACGAAGTAAAGAAAATAGAGACTACTTCTATTCCTTGTCAGAAAAAAAAACCATTCAGTTCTCTGGAAAAACTAATTCCTTGAATGCTGACATCACACATTTGAGCGGTATCCAAGAGCTAAAAAAAGCTAAAACATGAGTTAATTTACAAATAAAATCAAATTTTGCATTAAGGCTATGTTTGGGAATGTTGATTTGGATTTGGGAAGTTGATTTAAAATCATGGAATTTCAAATCTAGAATTTGAAATCCATGATTTGATAAAATCTTTTGTTTGGATGTCATCACTAAATGCAAGGATTTGAAATCACAGATTTAAAATCTGATGTTTGGATGCACTTTATTATACATGAATTTGGATTTGAAATTGGTGTTTTAAAAAATTTTATGCTCTCTCTTAACTCCTTAATAATTTATGCTCTCCTACTCCACGCTAAAGCTGAAAATCACCGCAAGTCATTTCATTCCAGCTCCTGTTGGAACATTTTTCAACGTCACACGTTACCAAGTCATTTCGGTTTCATAATTTTATAATAATAAGAAACCAGAACTCTGCAATCACAATCAGAAAAGATATTCAGAAATATTAAATCACTCGAAGAAACATCAACAGCAAGCAACAAAATAACCAACCCACATTTCTGCTGAAGGCCAACGGTTAAAAACGAGTTTGATAAATAACCAACCCACATTTCTGCTCAAGACCAACAGTTAAAAACGAGTTTGATAAATAAAAAACTTCAACATGCTACAAAATTTGCTCACTAGGAAGCTCCAATCATCACCAAACTTTTGTCCTCGGAAAAGAAAACATAATTCCAGCAAAGCAAAAATATTATAAGTACTGAATAACAACATAATCAGATGAAGTTTCAGAAAATGCTAAAGTTCAACGGTGCAGGCTGATCAACCATCTACTACCAAGCTTCAAAGATCTTGGACGGTCAAACCTGCAGAAGAATAAAAGCCGATAAGTCCGGTATAGCCAGTATCACCAATATAAGCTCATAATCTATTTAAAATTTAGGTAAAATAACTTCGGGTAGGTAACTAAAAGAATGTTAAGAAACATTTAACCAAAGCATTTATAGTATTACTAAGAAATTACGAAACCAGAAACATTAACAGCAGAATGTAACCAACTCACAAGTCAGCTATGAAAATACAGGTATTTAGGTCAAACCAACATTAACAGCAGAATGTAACCAACTCACAAGTCATCTATTTAAAATTTAGGTCAAACCTGCAGAAGAATAAAAGCCGATAAGCCCCGTAGCCAGCATCACTCACTCCAAAAGTCACAACTATAAGTTTGCATCCTAACATAAATGACAAAATAATGAGAGTTAAAATATGCCTAAAAAAGAAAAAGAAATCCAAGAGAGAACTTACTCGAATGGGTTCAAAGATTTGGGGGTTCTTGCCATCCAACTAGAAGCTACTCCTTAAGAATAAAGAGAATAAAATCTCTTTTTTCATCATCAGGAAGTGACTTCAACAAATAAAATTTTTCCGGGTTGCTATCCATTAGCTTCTCAAATGCCTTGAACACTTGAATGCGACTTAAGTTGGGTATTTTTGAGACCACGTGATGAATCTCCTCACCGGTTGGTGGTTTTCTTACTACTTCCTTCTTTCTCTCATTAAAATACTCAGTCACAGAAGCTGCCATCACTGCAAGTGAATCAACCAATTTATCCCCCTTCTTTTGTTTCTTTGAACTTGTCTCACCACTAGTTGATGTTCCAGGAAGATGTTTCCTTGAAGAGCTTCCATCTTCGTTTGTTTCAGATTGTGCCACAGATTCATCATGTTGCATTGTGTTAGCAGCCTCTTCAAAAGTTTCTGCACCTTCACCGTTGGCTCTATCTTTTGCACATAACACCATAATATCATCCTAATTTTTAATCAAACGATTCTGGTAGCCTTTTGCATCTGGATTAGCCTGCAATATAAGAACATTCACAAATATTTTTTAGATATATGCAACAAACTAATAATTCAAATTAATAAATATAAAGTGCAATATTACCGTAACATAGTCGTTCCATACTTTTTGCTCACTAGCGGGTATAATCACCATTTTCTTCTCATCATCCCACCACGTCAAACCACTTTTATTTTTAATGTCATAGATAACATTATAATGGGTTTTCCAAATTTTGAGTCGATTTTTCACGTTATCTTTGTTCAAGTTGCTATTAAATGATTTTAGTGCATCAACCGCAACTTGATACACTTGAGGCTTCCAAGTACCATCGACTTTTAATCCTTGGTTCATTTGATCGTACAACACATTGGCTAAAGCTGCGTCCATATCACGATTCCACACAACATATGATCTTGAATGAGATGCAATTTGTTTCCCTTTCTTTGTCATCCTAATACATACCTGTATTCCGTTGCTTGCGTGCGATTCGTCGATCTCGTCGCCTCGTTGGTTTGTCGGTTCGTGCCGAGCTGAGCTAAGGGACCTATAAGCAATTTTATATGCCTACAAAAAATTTTATATGCCTACACACACATGTAAGTTTTATTTGTCGTATTTTGATTTCATATTGGATTCCGGTGAGTAGGGTATTTTCTTTGGGATCGTGGCTCACATGATATGGCTCATAGTTGATTTTTGTTTTGGATGAGATCCCTCTTATGTTAGAGCTGTCTTTTCGAGTATAAATTGAGACGGATATTTGATTGAGGTTTGGAGTGTTTTCCTTTTGGTTTACTGTTTTCATTCATAGGGTTCGGAGTTGGTATTTAGGAAGTCACAATTTGAGACATGGTATATACATAAGGGTTTCTTTGTTTGGATTATTTCGCTCGACGTACTAACTCTCGTGTTATGATTTCCTAAATATTAATTTCCAGTTAGAATTTTATGAATGATTTCATATGTATATGTATTAACTCTATTTTTTTCTATATTCTCCTACCCCTTCCCCTGGGAGAGGTGGAGATGATCTCACTATAGCGCTTTGACGCTCGTTGTTTTCCCCTCTTTCATGCAGCGAGTCCGGCGCACGAGAGTCGCAGGTTGATAAGAATTTTTCATAGATTCCATCAAGTTATTTATTATTTAGTAGTTATTTTAGAACTCCACAGTTAGTTGTTTATGTCAGATTCTAGACTTGTATTTTATTTTGTAGAGATTGAGAGCCATAGTGGTACCTTATTTGACTCTTTGTACTTGAGGTTTATTTCAGACTCAGAGATATCTCTATCTTATTTTGTTGGGCTCAATGATGATTATTTTCATACTTCTTCTGTGTATATCTAGTTTTTGCTCTACTTCCATTATTTACCTGTTTAGTACCTTCACCTATGTGTTGATTCCACTAGAGAGATAGTGACTGTGATGGTGAAACATATCGTAGCATGGTGTTTGGTGCTTGGCAGGTTTGACAATTCGAGTTTCACCTTAGACTGCAGCATTGTGTGAATCCTAGGGCATCACAATTGGTATCAGAGCTCTAGTTCTAGTATCCTTAGGACCATTCTGTGTCGAGTCGTGGAGCCAGGTTAGAGTTTCCTAGGATTCATGTATAGAGTCCACTAAGGATTTCCTAGTATGAGTGAGGACGATATATGCGTATATCTCAAAATTTGAGAATATTTTTTTATAACAACTATTTGAATGTATTTGCGTGAATACTATGTGTTATGAATTCGTATTGTGATACGTTATATATATATATATATAGTATTTTTGCTATCTCATTTATTGTGATGATTAAGCTCTCCTTTTGATATTATAAATATCAAAAATGTATGTATTTTTGCTATCTCATTTACTGTGATAATTAAGCTCTCCTTTTGATATTATAAATATCAAAATGAGGGTGTGATCGAGGTAAAACTCGTACCTGGAGAGCTGGGCGTGCAGAGCCGAGCTACAACAGGCTCCACAATATTTGAACGACTTCATGGCACCGTTAGCAACAAGATCTTACAACACTCGAGGAGCAAGAAGTGTATCCGTTTTCGTCAGCAATACCACTTTCAGGAGTTCCATCACCGGTCGTACCCATCGTGAAAGTAAAGAAGCAATACTTATGAAGGCACCACCACCACAATCAGCTGTTTATAGAGCTGAAGAGCAGGATTATAGACGGTAAAAATTACCTTTGCAGATAAGACTGGAATCCGCCTGCGTATTCGAGTCGCCCGCACGACTTGAAAATCGGGCTCACCCGTGTGTTTGACTCGCTAAAAAGTTGAACATGCAAGCAGATTACGCATATATCCTGAATATATATTTAGCAAGATGCAAATTTAATGAAGTCCTAAGAAAAAACAACTCAAGACATAGAAATCTTAACAACAACAGATAAAGCACTGTACAAATATTATTGGCCATAATTTATCTTGAGAACTCCTAAGTATAGATTATAATTGATAACAAATGGTAGTACTTTTAACTCCAGCTAGGGAGTTGAGCATGCATGATGGTTTCATACTAGTAACTATCAGATAAGAAGAATTTGTGGTCAATTTGCCATTTTTGGGTAAATTTCATATAACCCCCTCACCCTGAGGCTCGCCTTGCCTGCACAAGTCAAGAGCCGAATTCTCCTATAAACGATAAACTCGCCAGACTCGCCAGGGTTCTCGGCAGGTGCTATGTCACGTACAGGGATGGACCTTCTCACTTCCCATGACGTGAAGGGAAGGGACACAGTAATCCGAGCCCATCAAGTAGCCACTCACAGTACGAGCTACCAGTCAAATCCATGCAACCTCCAAGTTCGCCTGCATGCTCACGACTGAAGCTCCCCTCGCCTGTACGAGTCAAGAGCTGAATCCACCCACGATCAACAAGCTCGCCGAGCTAACCAGAGTACCTAGCAGCCATAATAGCACGTACGAGGATGTGCTTTCCCACTCCTCACGATGTGAAGGGAAGGAGTACAGTGCTGCGAGCCGTCGCTCATGGTACAAGCAAAAGGCATAGTATCTCCCAACAGTACATGGTTACATCCCATGATTCAGGGGATTGACCATGCCGTCTCTCCTCTATTTAAGAACCTCTCCTAGCTACAGAAAGGAGGTTCGCTCATAGTTAATTGATTAATTCAATCAGTTAGCTGAACCACTAGCTCTTGACTCCCGACCGAGTTGACGACAAGCTCTTTGCATGACCTTTGCACTGTAGCATCCTCTCCTAGCTTTGGGCCCTAATCGCCATCGAACTCGAAAACTTGAACTCGACCAGCACGAGCTTCTACTGCGTACTGAAGCTCACCAGCAACCTCGATCGAATTGTTCAAGGGAAGCAGACTCGGTACGAGAACCGAGCGAGATATCCTATCGCTACCAAAGTCCCCACGTTAAACAAGGAGGGCCTTCCCTTCGCTTCTGTTATAATTTTGATTCATTAGTTTATAATAAGCTATTCTTATCAATACAAACAATATCCCCATTTCGGGAAATCAAAATTTACACCTACAGAAGATGACGACCACAGTGGGAGAAACTATTTCTTCAACCGAAATGGTGGTAGTGCAGTTCGACGAGGTTGCTGTTAGGACGACTGTGGAGTCCCTAGAAATCGAGTTCGACCAAGCCAAGTACGAAGAGTACTTGTCTTCCTCCTCCTCTGGTGGTGATGCGTCCCGCAAACGCCATAGAGTTGTGTGTAGAAGCCGACCTCAAACGGTCAAAGCCTTCACGCCTGAGGACTTTATTCGAGTCACGCCGGGAGAGCCTACTCCCTCCGAATTGATCGAAGCCAAGCTAGAGGTTGAGAGCACGGGACGAAAGGTTGTCGGATGGGTCGCCAAACGACCCTCACAGGCCCCCGCTCAGGAAGAGATGGTGGTTCAGCTTGGCGCAGACCACACCGTCACGGCCCGCATAGACGTTCCTCCCTCCAGAAGAGCCCGCCAGAGGCGACGACAGGTCCTCGCTCGACAGGAGGCCCGAACCTTCGCCTCATACGACAGCCCGAATTATTATTCGGGTCTGAAAGGTAGAGAAGCAACCCTCCTAACGCGGGTGGGCTCGCCAAATCAGGCGAACCCTCCTGTTCAGGCGGACTTCGCTCTGATCATAATATCCCCCGTGTCGGCTAGTATTTCTGACCAACTTAGCCACTCAGGCAAGCCAGTCAGAACGGGCGAGCCTACCTCCTCAGGCCAGTTTCGCTTCTCAGGTCATATCCCTGATGCGAACAGACTGCTCAGAGTAGGCAAGCCCTACAAATTACAGTGGGAGTGTTGATTCATATAGATCACTCAATGAGGGTTCCTGGTGTTAAGTGACAAATACTTAACACAAAAGGGTTTAACAATCGTTAATGATCAGGATATTAAAATTCCGAGTACTATGTCCGGACTCTAACAATGGGAGTGTTGAGTGCACAGACGTAGCAGGAATTTGAGTGGATTCAACCGAAAGGAATTTTGATGGTCCCATCATCAATTAGTCTGATCGGTGGGGGATTTTGTGGTGGAAGACTGTGAGTCGTCAAACACCAATGAGAATTTTGTGAGGGGAAATTGATCCAACGAAGTGATTGAATCTCGTCTTAGCAAAAGAGTGTTCGGAAATCATGGTGGGAGTTTAGTATTTATCACTTTGTTCGTAATGACCGGGTTAACCCTAAGAATATTACATGTAACATTCTTCCGGGAACTTCCCATTACATAAATCATCCACCCCCAGCTTCATTTGCAAAACTGGGTCTAACATTGTACTTAGTTGGATGACCAGGTTATCCTTAAGAATACCAGACATGACACTCTCTAGGAACTTCCCGTGAAAGAAAAAAAACAGTTAGACTCATATACATGTTGGAGTATGCAGGGAGCAGTTTAACCTCATATACCTGTTGGAGGATTGAGAAGTAGTTTATACTCGTATACTCTTTGGAGTTTTCATTCGACTTAATTGAGCGTTATGACACCGGCTTCAACCAAGGTTTGGATGCTATTCTTAAGAGCGAATTCATTCGACTTAATTGAGCGTTATGACACCGGCTTCAACCAAGGTTTGGATGCTATTCTTAAGAGCGAAGCAAGCCTTGGTAGGATGAAGGATCCTTCAACCAAGGTTTGGATGCTATTCTTAAGAGCGAAGCAAGCCTTGGTAGGATGAAGGATCCTCCTGTGATATGCATAGTACTTCGGATCCATAGTATTGTCAGCTTCCTCTTGATTTGCGATAGGTGGTGGTAGCTTGATCTTGTTGTTCTCAAGGAGGGATTTGAAAATAGCTGGAACGTCTTCTTCCTTGAAGGAGTACTACTTTTGGAGTCTCGGTTTCAAAGACTTTTGCTGTCTTCGGGGTTGTTGATGTGACGTCTGATTAACGTCAATGACTATTGCAGGTGCCTTCCCCTTACCACAGGAGACAAAGCTCGAGTTCGGAGGGTTAGCCGTC